TCAAAGAATACGCCCAACATGTCAAACTAAAGATCTGATTGGTTGAACACTATGACAATCAACAATATCGTCCCCATTCACTTAAAGTGCAAAGGGATTCACTTGTGAGTCTGCAGGCCTCGGGCCTCTCTTCTTACCTAGAGACACAGAGGTGAAATCTGATTGGATAAAAGCTCTACTTAAAACAAGCTGCACTGGAAGCAGAGCAACTGAGGAAGACAGTAGCTGTGCAATGAGAACATAAGATAATGGGGAAAATATTATAATAAATTATAATACATGTAGTGTATTTAAGAAAAAATATTAAATTCTAAAATAGCTATAACTTTGTGATTCTGTCAGGGCCAGCAGAGAAAGCCTTGCTGGCCCTGACGGCCCACCACTGGTGAAATTGATTGGATGTGGCACAGCCCGACCTAGAACATTTTCCACCAGCCGCCACTGGTAAGGCCACTGACCAAGCGCCGGGATGTGACGAGTCGGCAGTGAATATGTGTTGCCAGGGATGTTCTGGTCCAATCCTCCATCTCCACTATCTTTGCAAGGACTGGCAGATGTGACAACCACACTAACTACTGAGTGTGTAGCTGCTGAAGGTTGCTGGAAGTAGCACAAAGCCAGAGAGAAAACGCTGATTTTTGTTCTCCCAAAAATAATACAGCAAGTGTTGTTGTTTTCCCCATCACTCATACATTTCACAAGTGTCAGTCTTATACTTCCCATGTAGCAGATCAGTAGATGTTTGTACAGTTTAGTGGGCAGGACTGCTCTCCATATGAGGGAAAGGACTGCAAACACACTCTGGGGGATTTATATAACATTTACTTCTGATGTGGACACATTGTACAACTAGTAAAGGGGTGTGTGTGTGTGTGTGTGTGTGTGTGTGTGTGTGTGTGTGTGTGTCCGTCCATGCATGTCCATGCTTGGTTGCCATCACTAATAGCCCAGTCTTGTCAGCTGCTGTAAACAGTGAACCATCTCCAAACATTACCTTATTAAGACACAAGACACAGAACAGACAGAGAGAAGAGTTCATACCTGCCCCCCTTCTCTCTCACACACACATCTAGTTGTGACACATCTATTTTCCCCGGGCGCCTGTCATTGGCAGCCCACTGCTCCCTATATATACAGGGATGGGTCAAATGCAGAGACAAATTTCCCCCTTAAAGGGATCAATATAGTATAATAAATTTAAAAAAATAAATAAAATATTTTAACAGATCAGATTTAAATCATAAAATAGATTGCACTGAGAGCACAAAATATCCAAATATTCGAACCAAACTAAATAGTTCAAAAACAGTGACAGCTTTCCTCTGGATCAGAAACAATGCTTTCAAAGTGTGCAGGGAGACACACAGTAGGTTCCTGAAGTTTGACATCATTCTCCAACCTCAGATCCTCAGCAGCGCCCGGCCCTCTGGCAGCAAGTCAGCAGTTTAACTGGGAGCTGCACCATGAAGTGCTTTAAAGGTCATCAGTCAAATCTTATTGGTAACAACTTAAAACTGGGCTGATGAGATGTTCTTGTAACATTAGGAAAGACTTTGGTGACCAAAACAAATTATTTCTGATTTGTTTTCATTTAGCTGAAGAAGGTGTTGGGACATCCAGCACATACAAGATAATAGCTGATGGAAATTGCGTTCACTTCTGGTTTTTAATGGGACATTAATGTGTGTGTGATGTAACAATGGTACTGAATATTGTGTTATTGTATGATATGTCCCAGTGGCATCATGTATACACAGAACTACAGGGGGCCAAGGATGGAGCCCTGGGGAGCTCCACAGTCACATGGGCCACAGAAGAGGAGGCATCACCGACTCTACTGAAGGAGTTCTGTTGGATGAATAGGATTTGAGCTAGTCTGAGGAAGTGTCCCTGATGCCAACACACTTTTCAATAGAAAGAATAGAGCTGTGTTAATGCAAACATATCCAGCATCAGCTGTGAGTAAACAAGCATTTGTTGCTTTAATGAGTGGAGTTTTGCTGCTGTGATGTGAACAAAAACAGCTTGAAATGTATCAAAGATTTTATGATTATTCTTAAAAGAAATGGGTCTAAATTCTATTTTAATCCAGAGGGTCGAGACTGAGTGGATGTCTACTGAGTGCTTCAGGCAGGCGGGAACACCACCAGTGGACAGAGAGCTATCTACATGGCATAACATAGAGGACAACCCTGTCCTTGCTGGTGATCCTGGCCGACATTACTGTCTTTACGGCAAGCTCTGTTTCAAAGCTAGAATGAAGATACTGGTATATATAAAAGTAGACAGCGTTGTGGGCAACAATCATGCAGGTTTTGTATGCAATATAAATGTGTTATTTCCGCCTAATCTAAAAATGGTTTATTTGAATATGTAGGATAATCACAGCCTCATCAAGCTTTACAAGCACAAACTACAGCCCTAGTGCATTCAGTGGGCGTAGGGGTCCTCCAGGTATATGGACAATAAAAGGGTTTCTGAGCAGTTTTAGAACAGAATAGTTCACCATTCAATTCCCCAAAAAGCAAATCTTCCAGAAATCTCCAAATATCAGAAGATTTTGATACCAAATCACAGCACGGATTTTTCTTTGGTGTTCCTCAAGGTGTTGGTATCTTAATGTGGTATTTTGAAGGGATATTTGATTCTCGAGTAGTAAAAGAAAAGTTCAATACAGCATAACATAATACTGCGTAACAGATGGTATCAACCCAAGAACTTCTGAGACACGTGAGCATAGGAATGCTCTTCTTATACTTCTGAGCCTTTTACACTCTCACATGTATTTGTACAATTGTTAATCTCTGATTCATGATTAGAACAACTTGACACACACAGCTGCATCTCAAATGAATCTTCAGGTGTCAGCTTTCAAATAATGTACGTGTATGTGGCATCTACTGTTGACCTTTTATCGCCCTCTAAAGATCCCCTGCCCCCCCTTAGAAAATACATAAACGGGTCTTTAAGGGTGATCAAATCCTGGTGAAATCTGTCAGGCATAACATGTGAAGGACTTGATGAAGGCTGTAGATTGTTAACTGTGTCCTGTAAAGTGTGAAGGACAAACGCTCACAGGGTTGATGGTTTTGAAAATCAATGTGTGGTTATGACGGTTTGTTGCAGTGATTTTGGAGAAAGAGGACCTGGATTCTTCTACTGCTTTTGATCTTTCAGAATTTCATTTCAACTTCTGTTCTGCTTGTCTGCATTCTCTCTCCATTCCTCTGCTGTTGATATTTAGCCACAGCTCCAAGTTGGTTTGACTCGCATGATTTTTAAGTTATTTGGTAAATCATCTGTAGACATTTTGGGTTTTTGGTTATTGCTGTGTGTCGATGCAGTGGAGAAGGCCTTATGGAAGCTGTCAACAGAGTTGGTATGGAGGACACAAGAAGAAACATAAGTAGAAGCTGTGGGAGTAGGAGGTGGAAGGGCCTTTAAAATGGTTTAGCTTGGTGGTCAGAAACATATAAAGCAGCCTCATAGATCAGCCCTTTCAGAGGATAGAACAGTGCCCAGGGTGTGTCCCTTCAAGTGAGTGGGACCCTCAATTGACTTGAAACATTTGAAACTGTGAACATGTATATCAAACCACCTAAAATCAAGAATCTACTAAAGCAAGTTGTAATGAAAGCCAAAAGATCAGATTGGCCACTATGTGAAATTTGCTTCCAAACCAGGCGCTCTTCCTTGGAGGTTGTTCAGGACTGTGGTCCACAAACCTATCAGTGACATCACGGTGACTACGTCCACTTCTTAAACAGTCTCTGCTTTGGACTGTGGGGCGAAGCTGGAGAAGGCACGGGGAGAACTAACAGCACTAACCACTGCACCACTCTCAGCAGTGATGTCATACCCAAATACAAGAAACACATACGCTTCTTCTTAGAGTAATCTGTCTGTCTGTCTGTCTGTGTCTCTCTCTGTCTCTCTCTGTCTGTCTTCCTCTCTTTTTCTTTCAGTCTGTCCTTCTCTCTCTGTGTGTCTCTGTCTGTCTTTCAGTCTGTCCTTCTCTTTATGTGTGTCTGTCTTTCAGTCTGTCCTTCTCTCTCTCTGTCTGTCTTTCAGTCTGTCCTCTCTCTCTTTGTGTGTCTGTCTTTCAGTCTGTCCTTCTCTCTCTCTGTCTGTCTTTCAGTCTGTCCTCTCTCTCTCTCTCTGTGTGTCTGTCTTTCAGTCTGTCCTCTCTCTCTTTCTGTGTCTGTCTTTCAGTCTGTCCTCTCTTTCTGTGTCTGTCTTTCAGTCTGTCCTCTCTTTCTGTGTCTGTCTTTCAGTCTGTCCTCTCTCTCTGTCTGTCTTTCAGTCTGTCCTCTCTCTGTGTGTCTGTCTTTCAGTCTGTCCTCTCTCTGTGTGTCTGTCTTTCAGTCTGTCCTCTCTCTGTGTGTCTGTCTTTTAGCCGTGTAATAAGTTACTAAAGGGTATTTCCCTTTGCTGTCCAGTCAGCTGCCTGATGCAGAAAAAGCCCAAATTTAGAAGAAATATGAACATTTTCAAACGTTTTTTTTCATTCACTGAGGAACATATACTCCCCCCAACACACACACACACACACACACACACACACACACACACACACACACACACACACACCTCCTCTTTTCCATTTCTCTGTTCACTCTTTCTTCCCTTCTACTCTTCTTTCCTTATCTTTCCTTCCCATTCCTTCCCTCCTCTCCTTCTCTGCTTCCTCCCCTTCCCTCTCCACATTCCCTTTGTTTCTCAGCTTCTATCTCCTTCTACTTCTCCTCCTCCCCCTAAGGCCCCCCTTCTTTACCTCTTTCACTCCCTCTCTTTTCTCATCCCCTTCTGCTCTATGTTTATCCCTCTCTCTCCTGTCCCCCCATCTTTCCCAGACAGACTGTACAGGTCACAAGTTGAGGCTTCTTGGTTCGTATTGCATCAGCCAATCAGTTATGTTCAGAGGGGGCATTCCCTGGTGTAAGTCCCGCCCCCCAGTGACCATACAAGGTAACGGTGGAATGCATGGCTTGGCAGTCCATCTGCTTCATAAGAGAGACACGCACAGAGAGCAGAGGGTGTCCCACACTGATGAGCAATCCTATTTCAGTGTGATCTGAACTTGGGCTTGCTGTGAGACTACTGAAGCTTTAGAAGGATGCCAGTGGACAAACCTGCTCTTAAACAGCTCTTAGACAAGTGATAGAACAGCAGTTTAAGTTGAACCTGCCAGTGGAGATGACAATCCTCAAGAAACCGCATCAGGCCAGCAGCCTGCCAGCTGCAGCAGATGACAGCTCCCCCTCAGAATCAGGTATGATCACGGTTCACTGCTCTACTATCTATGTGTATGTTGTCATCACTGACAATCGAAACATGTTTTATTTCATTTGAAATGTGTTTTTCTAGTTCACGTGAACATAATGTCATCATACTTGGATATTGTCAAAGTAAGCTTTTTGTATTAGAAATGTATTAGAAACATCTGCATGGCATTAAAACACCAAGAAATCATCTGTTTCACTCCAGTGAGAGCTGAAGTCCAATGAGGGAGCTCCACACTGTGTCATTTTGGCTGGATCAGAGGTTTGGTCACAATGCTACAGCTCTGGAGTATAACTCAGTGTACACTTGTCACACAGTGTGTTGGGGCCTTGAGATGAATCCCTCGACCACAGTGACTGACTGCAAAACAAAAGAAATGCGGAGGGTCAGAAAAATTCCTTCAAAAGTCTAAAACAGCATGGTGTAGTTTTATAAATGATCAGTCGTCATGCAAAGTCCACGTGACAAAGAGTGAAGCCTGGTATCCAGAAGCCCACTCACTGCTCTCCTCCTGGTTGAAGCTGCTACAGTGCTACCTGAGAACGGGACAGGACTGTACCTGAACCAGCCTGGACTAGATTTACATTCACTTTACTGGACAAACACACATAGACACTACCTTCTTATAGTGAGAGGTTCTTTTGAGAAGGGTTGGGACTCAACAAAAGGGTTGCAAGGTAAATGTAACGGCTCATGAGGAGATTAACATGATGGGGAAGTAAAAGAAAATGAATTTCAAAGCGTACTTTTGTTAATTTGTTATAAGCTTTGAATTTTTCAAAAATCCCTCTCTGGTTGAACTGACCATAAACTTGAGACAAGGGGTCCTAGAAGACAGTAGACATGGCTTTGTTTTAAGGTGTCACAGGTCGAAAAGGTTGGCCACTGATGTAGATTCTCCAAATTCAGCTCACCAGGAGGGAGGGGGACTCTGTGAAGTGTCGGCCTTAAATGGGAAAAACACAGCCCCCTACAGTATGGCTGATCTTACACAGCATCTCATGTCACGAATTAGACCAGCATCAATGACTGGGACCAAGTTCACACCATGGACAATAGGCAGGAGGTGTTAAAGGAGGAGGAAACTACTTCTAGTCATACACACACATAACTCATGTCTGTTTCCTCAGGACGCTGCTATGTGTCTTCAGATGAAGGAGAAGGAGGCGCGGAGGAAACACACCAGGTAGGAGCACCACACACACACACACACACACACACACACACACACACACACACACACATGTTAGTCTTTCTCTAATAGTGAGGACCTTGGTTGACATAATTCATTCCCTAGCTCCTAACCTGATAGTAGCCTTAACCATCACAATGACCTAAATGTAATTCTAACCTTCAAACAGTCCTTTGAAGTAGTGAGGGCAAGCCAAAACGAATGTCCTCACTATAATGGTTAAAACTGTCACTAGTCCTCACAAAGATAGCAATAAAATACCACACACACACACACACACATACACACACACACACGTGTAGTATGTGACTTTTTCCTCTGTAGTGATGGCTCTAAACCAGCTGATACGACTGTGTGTCTGTTAGTAGCTCATGGTACAACGAGGCAGTCACATGTTGTGCTCTTGGATCCGTTCCCTCCTGTCTATATAGCATTACAGTAAGGTCTTGGCTGCTGACTGGTGAGTCTGACAGGGTTGAAGAGGTTAATGGTAATGCAACAAAGTGTCATATAGATCCAGCTAATAAAATATGTGTTGTAACGCCCCATGTCCTGCTGAAGACGGGAACGGACATGAGAAAGTGTATGGAGGGAGGAGAGGAGGAAATGCTGTATTTATTTACAGAGCAGTCAAAAGTCTTGGGGGCACTGGGTTAGGAGGACTTTCACATAACCCCTTACACACACACACTAACACCAGACCCCCTCTGGGAGCAAGAGACGCTGATTCCCAGGGTCAATTTCACATGGGAGGGGAAGGGGGAGGGGGGAGGGGGAGAGGGGGAGAGGCTTATGGAAGGTGAGAGAAGGGGAAGGAGAGGACGTAGAAACAGAGATGGAGAGAGAACCTCAGTCTTTGTTCTTCATCTGAATGACTCTAATCTCACTGTCTTTATGTTGACATCTGATATCTGTAAAGATTGAGTGTCACTATGAGCTTCCTGCTTTCACTATATGCAGAATGCACACACTATCTCCAATCATTCAATTCATCTGAAATTCCGATTCATTGACAGTTCATTGACAGTTCATTGACAGTTCAGCTAACATGTCACCTGCGTTCAGCTCTCACTCTTGGCCTGTGCTTTTCACTGAAAACAAATGAACAATTGAACTGCCAACGCTTTAATTGATGCCTCGGCTTCTTTCACGGTTCACACTTCAGCTGACACTAGTTCAGTGCTGCAACTTAAAGTGCAACCCCCATACAGTATTTCACAGGCAAGATTTGAAGAATTTAAAGCTGTTCATAGTGTCTGATCCTGCAGTGTTCAGTGTGATCTAGTTATCTTCTTCAATTCAAACAAATACAGGACTTTCACCCAGGGGACCTGCTGTTTGTGTCCCGTGTGAAACCAAAAGTCAACGATGAATTATTTTGACATCATGTTAATGTGAGTGTTACTTTGTGACTTAAATAACATAGAGACATAAACATACTCGTTTTAAGCCAAACCATGATGATTTTTACAAAACCTAACCAAGTAGTTTTGTTGTGCTTTTGTTTTGTTTTGTTTCAATTTATATCGATACGTGTTTCAAACTGTGACCGTAATCTGGGAGAAAATACATTTCCCTCCTCATGTAACTGAGGATGCAGTGTAGTTGTATGGGAAGGTATTCTGTTGGGAGGCTTCAGTGTTAGACTGGAGTACAGTTCAGCATTGCCATTTTTGGTAATTGATTTTAAGACCCACTTTCACAGTCACTTCTATGTGTACTTGGTCCGTTCTGTTTGATGTAGTCTGACACTGTGCTCTTCAATCAGTGGAGTAGGCCAGCTTACTCTTTTGGTGACTCTACACATCTGTGAGGTTTTCCTAAAGCTTTAAAAAAAAAGATTTCACATTACACAGGCGTCACTCAGCTGTGTGTGTGTGTGTGTGTGTGTGTGTGTGTGTGTGTGTGTGTGT